GGGAAAGCCATCCTTTTCCCCCAGGCCCCTTTTAGACCGTGAAAGCTATCCCGCTCTCCCTCGCTCCTTGGGAAGACACCCCATGGACACTGGCTAATGAGGGCAAACACTTGGGAGTCACAGAAGTTTGCTGGGGCATCTCCCTGGGGCTTGCCAGAACTCTGTTAGGGTGCTCTGGGCTTTCACTCGTTCCTGCAGTGATTTGGGAATCCATCAGTATTTGTCAGATCCATAAGCCTGTCGCTGGTAGGTGATTGAATACTCCTTTTACAGTGTTCTTTGTTATCGCAGGCAGTAATGAGCATGGCAGGCTGTTGTAGGCAGGGAAGTGTGGCCATGCGAACTGAAAATTAATCTTTTGCTTGATCTGCTGGCATTTGTTCTAGCATCTTTCTCTCCACCTCTCTCCCTCTCGCTGTTGGTGTGTGTGTGAAGGGGGGAGTCGATGCTGGAAAGGGGAGTGGAGCAGGGGTGGAGTTTCTATCAGCCACTGCCTTGCTGAGAGGTGTGTTTTTTTTTTTTCTTTTTTTTCCTCTCTCTTTTTTTCCCCCTGTTCAGTGACGTGAGCGATGCCTGGAACAATCAGGCTGGCTCCAAACAGCGTGCCTGAAGATGCTGGAGAAAACAGCCTAGTGGGCTTTAAGCAAACACCGATTGCTTGAGCCCGGGCTCTCCAGACGTGACCTTTTCCAGTTCCTCTGCAGGGGATTGGGAAGTGCCGTTAGCTTTCTTCTTCCCCATCCCAAACGCTCACTTTTGGAAATGATCGGAGTTAACAGTGTTCAGAGCACGAGCAAAGTCCGGGTGAGAGCCACAGGTTCGGTGAAATACTCCCGAGAAGAATCTCTCTGGCGACAGTCCCATCGATCAAAATCTATGAAAATCTCCAACTCCTCTGAGTTTTCTACTAAAGAAAGCAAGGTAAATAACAAAATGTTCGTAATGTTTCTCTTGGCCAGGAGTGCAGGTGGCGGTGTTGAAAAGGTTATACTCTGTGAGTATGATCTGCAGTGATTACGGAATTGCTGTCAGGTTGGAAAAAAATTCTGCTGGTGTGAGGAGAGACGTGAAGGTGAAGAACGTCTGGTGTGAGATAGTGACTGGGTCTTAGAGGAACGCCCTGCCACTGAGCTTGGTGCAATAGTAAACAGTGAAAACTTGCTACTGAGAATGCTAATAGGAGCTCTGCTTTTGGGAAAGGTGCCTGAGCTGGCGAGTCATGTCCTTGAGATTATCTGTTCAACGGGGAAGGATTTCCACAGAAAAATAGGTTTTGCTCCTTCTTTACAGCTCTGTGGTTTAGTAGGTGTGGGTGCTAGGTAAAACTACTGCTTCTGTTGCATGCACAATTAAATCTTGGTGTCAGGTATTTATTAGGAAGGCATCACTTGTCCGTTTGTAGGAATACATTAGTGCCTTGTAGCGGTCGGTAGCACAGGCTGTGCCCAGCTGCTACGGCGGCTGTGTGCAGCATCCCCTCACCCAGCCCAGTTCGGTTCCTACGCAAACAATCCTCACTCCATGCAGCATCTCTTCTTTTCGTGTCCCTTGCTCCTGCTCAGTAACCAAGAGCGACTCGGAAATCACTGGCAAGAGCTTTAATAGCTGTCTCACTCCCAAAGGTGCTCCGTGTCTCCGTGGGCTGGATGAACTTTATGCAGTGACTGAATATGCCTCTGAATTCATGCCTGCTGCAAATTGATTCTGCCTCGGGATTAGGTGATACAATCATTTGTAAAGGTGTGTTGAATGAGGCTGAAATATTTCAGAGCATCAGCCAAAGGCATTTAACCATGTCTTGTGTCCGTGTGCCTGCAAACAAGCAGGCACATGCATGGGTCTTCCTGCACTGTCCCTTCGCTAAGTCTCCTATCTGTCCTCAGAGAAACCTCCTCTGTTATGCTGAAAAGATCCCAGTGCTGCACAGAAGTTCCTAGCAGATCACTCTCTACCGGCTTGCGAGTTGTGTGGTATGTCAGAGCCTCAGCTGCAGATCTTTAATCACAGAGGAATGCAAATAGAAATCCATCAAGTATTTTATTCAGTTCGATTTCAGGAACCTCCTTTTTGAGGGCCTTACTGACCGTAACTAAGAAATAGTGTACTGCCAAGGTTGTAGCAGAGAAAAATAGCATGACAATCATTCTCAGGCTGTTGCTGATGCAGTATCTGCTACTCCAGCAAATGCCAAAGTGAAGGCTGCATCTAGCAGGTGTTCTGGGACTCTACTCTTGTGACCACTTTCACCTTAGGCATGGCAATAATTGCGCAGTATTCAGTGGGAGGATTTCTGTATGAAAAGTCTCTGCGTATGACTGAAACTCGAGTCTTTTCAGATTGGACAGATCACTTCATATCTGTATCTTCCTTTGATCTTAGTGTTCACTGTGTATGCACGGTGTAATGTCTTCAGGGCAGAGACTTTATCCCAGAGATGGTGTCTGACACAGTTAGCTAGTGCAGTAATGATTGCTCTGTGTTCATCCCTCCATGGGATTCACAATTATGCTTCCTGAGTGCTGTAGGCTGTTGAGGGAGAGATACGCACTCCTTCGCCTGCCTAGATCAGTAAGCTGGGAAGCACACAGCAGCTTTGTTTTTGTTTATAATGCTGTTTCCTTATTTCATATATATCTGTGGAGCACCCAAGACCTGTAAGAGCTGTGTTACGGACAGTTGAGAAGATCCCTGCATGCCTATCAGTGATGCCTGCCAAGCTAACAATATGACAAGTGTCTCTGCCACTGATCGGTCTAGTGATTTTGGGCAGCAGTGTTCTTCCCATATGCCTGTTTCCCCTTCTGTTCTTTATCTGGCCATCTATTTTGCTAAGATGTCACTGATTTGGAGAACTGATTTATATTTGAGCTTTAGCTCCTCTCTACTGTTGTGGTGGTGGAAGAGACCTGCAAGTTCATTGCCAATGTGTAGCATGGCAGAGGAGGTCTTTTTATCAGTGTAAGTCTGTGTGTGCGTTCGTGCTTGTACATCGCCTCTCACGACATGTCTTCAGTGCTGGGCTGGGCTCTCTGGATGGTGGTGCCATGCATACACCCTCAGTTTCAAGCAGGGCTTGATCTGTAGACTTGTCCTCTCCTGTATGTCTGTGGGTGTGTTTCCCCCTTTGTATCTGAACTGCCTTGTGTATTATCTGCTTTCCATGCAAAGTAATTACAATGCTCAAGACCTGCTTCTGAGACTGCTTAGCTGACTTAGGGAAGGAGACAGATTTAACCCATTTGTGCCTCAGAAACATACTCCTCTGATACTTCACGCTTATGTGACTCAGCCTATTTTGCTGAGCTAGGGAGTATTATATATCCTCTTGCTCCAGCCAGTATGAACAGAGCACTAGCATGGTGCTTGCATATGAGATCTGCCTGCTGCCGGTGTCAAAAGAAGCTAGGTAGCTGAAGGACAAATGATCTCCTTGAAAAATATCAGGTAGCTTCTCTGTGCTCATCTGTATACACACATACACCTGCATGTATACAGGCTCCACTGGGTGATGCATCCCTGGTGTGTATTACAGGCAGGTATCACAGCCTTGGGCCAGCAGGAGAACCTGCAGAAGTGATACTGTGAATGGGTGTACCATGGTTCTCTGGAGAGTAGTCTCAAGCCCCGGCTGCATGCAAGGTGAGTCAGAGGATCTTAGGATCATCTGTGAAACCCAGCATGCTCAGCAGTCTTTCTTTCCGACAGACTCTGCTTTCCCGCAGCCACGGACTGAATTGCAAAGTGCTTGTGCCTGTCCTGCCTGCAAACGCACAGGGCAAATAAAACAATCTCTGAACTAGCTTGTGTAGGTGCTCCACTATCAAGAAACACTTCTCTAGCTTTCTCTCTGCTCACCCATAATAATTCAGTATGCCGCCTTTGCCAGTAACACCGATGAAACACTCCAGCAAGTATAGAACAAATCTTTTTTAGCGCTCTCCCCATCCCAAGAGGATGCATTTGTTGTGTGGCATTAATTTCTTAGCTCTCGGGAGCCTCAGCTAACCATCCTTTTCTGTTTTATGATGATATATCTCTCACAGTCTTTCCTTCCTTTTTTCTTTCTCCCCCTCCCCCTCTTCTCCATACAAACCAGATTTTCAACAGAGGAGTTTCTCTTAGAAATGTTCTCCTCCAGTTGGTGACGCACTTGAAATTCCCTGGGTGAAATGATCTCCTTTCCTTCCCCCTAAAACATTCCTATCAACCCTATCTCCACCCACACCAAAAAACAACGTTCATCGGTTCCATATGCCGCTGAACAGCTCTGTGCTGTTTTATGAATAATGTATGCTGGCTTGTTAGAAGAACGTTTGTTGTACAAACCAGTGGAATTCGAAATTGAGAGCGATATCAGCAGACGTGCTGTGCCATGCACTTACCCACAGGCTTCTTGGGGTAATACCCTGGCATCCTTGCCGCATCCTCATCAGAAGGGTGAAAATGTGTGAGACATTAAGGGCATGTGGGGTTTGAGCACGGCAAGAAGCTACAGGCACATATTGAGCCCTTATCCTCACCTCACCAGGTGTTACAGATCCGTGTATGAGGACAGAAGATGATGGCAAGATCTGGGTTTTGAGGGAGGGTGGCAAATAGGAGGTGGTGAAGTAGTGTGTATCTGTACACAAGCAACAGTTGTTGAGGAGGGTCAGCCTTCAAGTAAGCACCTGAAGAGCAAAACCAGAGTGGTATATAGTAGCGTCTTGCACCCTGTCCAGTCCTGGCAGAAGGCAGTGGCGCAGAGACACACCCTGGTGCAAAGGACAGGCACGTTAACACCTACCATGGCTGCACGCAGGCACCTGCGGTATCTGGTATCTGTTGCCTCAGTAACCTGTTCTATATTTGTAGGGTTCTGCTGCTTCTGGTGTTTTTCCTCGCTCCAACACACCGTGTATGGTGGGAGCCAGGACTGCTCCTGGCTAACTGCTGTGGTCCTGGGGCAGAGCCGTCGGACCAGTGCGAAGCTGCGGGGGGGAGATGCTGAGCTTCTGACTCAGCACTTCTGGCCGCAAAGGCTGGACATACTTTTGCCCAGAGGCGTGACTGGGGCTTCCTTACTGCCTGGGATCCACTCAGGCAGCTGGAGATGAAGAAAAAAGTCCCAGGCAGGGCTTTTTCTGACAGTGGCTGCAGGAGAAGGTGGCAGGCGTATGGGTCAGAGAGCACAAGTGCATCCCTTGTCCTGGGGGCTGCAAAAGCTACCCAGCATATCTCCTGTAGTGGTCCGATGATCATTCTTCTAGCAGTGGTTCCAGAAATCAGGCTGAAAGAAGGTGTGAGCGGAAAGCCTGAGAAACAAAATCTGGAGAAGACAGTCTGGGTCACCTCTGCTGGCTCTCTGGACTCAGATTTGAGTTTGCCTGTTTACTGGCTCACAGCAGGCATTTCTGGCTCCTTATGATTTGTGCGTGGAGCAGGTGTAAAAAATACCTGCGGTGTTTTCCTTTCCCTCTTGACAGGCTTTTCTGGATCGGCTACTGTGTACAGAAAGTCAGTAGTTTGCCTCAGAAACCAGCCCTGTGTTGCCGTTGGAGAGAAGGGCTCACACAGTGCCCAGGACCTCTTGAACACCTTGCATCCTGATGGCCAGTCTTTGGGGATCGTGTGTCTGCTTGTTACCTAGATGATTTACCAAGATGAATATCTAGGTAATTAATTACTTCTTTGTCCCTGTGTGCACACCTGGTTGTGCCTTTCTTTTCTCCACTGCTTCTGCATTCAGAGGCTGACTCACAGCGTAGTTGAGCAGTTGGCAGGTGCCAATTTAAATGGATCAAATGGTTTGTGCATGTGACAAGGTTTTGAGGGAGGTGAGGATGGTGAGTGACCTTTTTTTCTTGGCAGCTTTGTAAAATAAACAGTTTTTAGAAGCATTCCCTGCATAGTTTTGCTTCTCTTTCCAATTGGAATAAAAGTACCAGGTGGTGAGAGCTTGTGAAAATCTGGAATTTTAGTTGACCTACCTGCTTACCAAAGGGAAAATGGGGCTAGCATTCAGCAGATTCTTGCAGTTACAGGCTTCCACTTAAGAAAGAAGGTCTAAGTTTCTTGCCTAGTTTATGAAGATCTAGAAACACAAGTCTGTAACAAATCCTTTTTTTTTTTTTTTTTTTAATGCTGCAGTGTGCTAAGGCTCAAATCTGAGCTCTAGGAGACAGCACCAGAGATAAAATAAGGAAGGTGTCTAGGACGTTGCCTACTATTACAGCAGTTAAGTTCTTCTATTCTCCCTTCAAAACTGTGTGTGTTTCTCCAGGGAGCTTGGAGCAGCACTGGGTGGGCCTCACAGCCCAGCTCTGAGCACCACGAGCACTGTGGTGGACCCAGAGATTGGCAATTCTCAGAAAGGGCAAAGTTGTATCAAGAAAATTTTTGCAGTCTGGGTAGTAGAGGTCAAGAGCTGAAGCAGGGAAGTCCAAACGCAGCTGAGTCCTAAGTAGCTGCGGGTTTGGAACCTGCCTACAGTAACCTTGGGTGCCAAAAGAGATAGAAAGTCTCTCCTCTTTTCAGCTGATGGCTGTCAGTCCAACTTGGAAGATGAGACCCATGCAGTGTGCGTTCTGACATTCACTACTATGGTCCAGCCTCCAGTTTTCTGGCTTAGATAGCAGGTTTGCCAAGTGCTTATCAGACAAGGAGGTTGTTGTTCAACTGTAAGAGTGCTTTAAATCAGAGTTTTTTTTTTCCTTTTCATTTCCCAGGCAGAAAACATGAGTTAATAAAACCTGTCCTTGCAGGTAGTTAAGTATGGTAAAAGTCATGTCCCTGCCATAATCTCTGATCAGCTTCGCTGCAGTTTAGTGAAGCATTTAAGTCCTTGTCTCCAAGTTTGTTTGGTTAAATCATACTCTGGAGAAATGTCTGCTGAAAAGATCTGTTGTCCGAATCGGGGCCTTGGGAAACAACCATGGAATAAATGATAGGGCAGGTGCTAGGCTGTACCTGACTGCTACTGGTTGCAAAACGTGAGAGGATGAAATTTTTCCTCTCTAGATCATGTGAGGGCCCAGCAGACATCAGGAAAATGTTAAAACATAAACTGCTTTGGAGAAGGAAGGTAAAGCAGCTCTAAAGGGCTGGTGAGTCTGGTAGTGAGTATGCAACCTGGCAGCAGTTTCTGCCAGAGAGGCAGGTCAGGGGGCAGGCATGAGAACTCATGTATCTCCATCCCTTGAGAGGTCTGCTTACTGAGGTCTCACTGAGCATGCTCCGTAGACACAGTGAACATAACCTGTGTACAGCTGCACAGGCTGTGGATAGGATTTTCTTTAAGTTTTGTAAATACCAGAGACTTTCTGAAAGGCTGTATTTGATCCTTTATGGGGGATACCATGTCCTTTGTCAGATGTGTGCCCTATGACTGGGTTGGTGTCTGTTACTCCCTAAAGAAGGAGGATGGAGTCTGGCTCATTAGTAAAGATGGGGACAAACACATGTTACTTTCCACAAGGCAAAAACCTGGGGCATTTGTTGTTCCTGCCCCAATCTGGAGTGCTGCTTTTGTGTGTCCTGCTCTTTCATGTAGTGATCCCAAGAGACTTCCTTCACAGCAAAATCCCACAGAAAGCAGTACTGTACAGGGCAGATGTTAATTTTCAGAGGTTGTGACCCAGTCTGGTAGGCATTTGGGCCAGAGAGCAGCAAAAAGCATTTCTGATATCCCAGGCCAGGTTTTTGTTATCTTTCAAAAGCCCATCCAGTGAGCTGGGTTAAAAAATGCTGCTTCTGAAAAAATGGGAAGGAAACTGGGGAAAAAATGCTGTCTTATATTTGCAGTAGTTTCCTGGCTCAAGATGTAAGAAAATAGTTTTAATGGTAGTAGGAAGAAAAAGACAAGTCAAAGAAAAAGAGGGCAGCTTTGGCCAAATTATTAGAAACGTAATGACTTCTAATAGGAAATACTGGGTGACCCCAGAGAACCAGCATCAACATTGGCTTGTGCAAAAAAAGGGAATTCTCATTCTGCTGGACTGTGGGCTGCATGGTGGGAGAAATGTTAGCTCTTTCTTTCGTTTTCTTACTGCATGGTGGTCCTAAAACCTCTTGATAGCCCTCACCTGAAAATTAAGCAAAGTGGCTACAAACTGCCAGCAACGCCCTTTCCTTCACCTTTCTCTTTCCCCAAACTCCACATTTGGAAATATTTCACCATATTGCCGTGAGTAGTGCAGCAAAGCTCTGGTAGCTGTGGGGACCTGTCTCTGCTAGCTCATTGTAAGTAGGATGTGGGATTATTCCTCCTGGTGGTCATGTCTGTTCTGTTGCTCTGAGAAACCTACTTCTGTGGTACACTATGACTAATAGTTGCTGCATGTGTAGCATCAGCCTGAGGCAAGTTGCACTAGTGTGTTTGACCTGCTTGTGTATGTTTCAGTCAAGCCAGATATTCACAGAGGTGAATATTAAGGATATTCAGATGGGCACCACAGGATTCAGAAAGGAGCCAGTGGATGAGCCACAGGATGAGCAGTGGGATATGCTGATGGGATTCTCATTTCAAGTTCAGCTGTGGCATATCCACAAGACTACTTTCAGCTCTTCAGTTTTCTAAATTATTTTTGTTTTGGGTCAGAGTTAAGGCTATTTAAAGGCCAATGTTTCTGTTGAGAGTGTCATAGCTATTATAGTATGTGATTTTCAGGCTTGTTCATACTTGATGTGCTACTTTTTGGTAATCATGTGCATCAACAGTTCTTCTACACGTTAACATATTTTTGAGGCTGTGTAGGAGTTATGTGCTAAAGGGAGTAAATCTAGCTATGTATATAAGGTAAATTACAAATGTGGATTGTAAGTGTGAGAATCAGGGACATTCCATACCAAAATACTTTGCTTGAGTCAAGTGGCCTATTTGAAGAACTCCATTAGCCTGTAGTGATAGCAGACATCCATTGTATGCATCAGCTGCTGGGGGGCTGAAATCAGACATAGTTGCCCAAGTGGTGTACCTGCTCTTTACAAGAAATCCATCCCAACTGTCTGGTATCCACTCAGGCTTAAGTCAGCCTCCAGATTCTTTTGTTTGCAGGCTGTTATCAACAGCAGAATTGTGACATTTGGTGTCAAACCTACTGGCATCTTTCCTGTGAATTGAAGGAGTAGTGATGTTAGCAGGCATCACTCCAAGACATTGATCTTCCAGCACAAAAGCTGCTTATCGTTCATTTTCTGTTTTACACTTAGAAATGTGTTTATGTTTGAGTGTGTGAGTGGAAAAGCATTCGGGTGTTTGTGAGGCTCAGGGCTTTGGATAGCTATTCTGGCATAGTTTTTCATATGGTGAAATCTTGCTCCTCTTGAAGCTGGTGACAAAAAAAGTCAATGACTATGAGGAATTAAATTGGACATTGAATTTCAGTGCTGTAGTCTTGTGGATTCTTGCAAACTTCATAAGGTTATTTTTAAATAAAACAAAAACAAAAAACTCAAACAAACAGAAAAACAACCAACCAAAAAAAAAAACCCACAATATCCAAAGACCTGCTTGAGAAAATGACTCCAACCTCAAACCCTACATTCTGTTATTTTTTCCTTAGATAAGATTTCTACTCAACACTACTGCATTACCATGAGCAGATATGGTACTTCCTTGAGGAGAGATAGCTGACTTGATAATATTAGTTAGGTAATTTTCCTCAACATATTAATGTATGTGTTGCAGGGGTCAATGAATAATTCCATTTCTTTTCTCTCCCTTTGCAGGCCCTCTACAATTCAATCAAGAATGAGAAGCTGGAATGGGCAGTGTAAGTATACTGTGTAAAAATTAGGAGTTTAAAAATAGCACCTGTGTAGTAATTTGTTTATGCATTCTATGTCATCAACTGAGTGGGCTCCAAAGTCTGCAGAAGATAGCCAGTGTACATAATGAGTTTGCTTTTCTGTTAATAAATGACCTGGCAATACTGCCTCATCTGTTTCTCCAGCAAGGGGAGTTGTTAATGATAGGAGCCAACTGTGTTTGTAAGGAAAGAGGATGTTTCATTTAATAGGAAACTTCAGCCTGAAATGAGAGAAATTAAATCCTCTGTTGTTCTGTGACTGCATAAATAAAACAGAAGCTGACTTCTCCTTTGTCTTTTGGTACATTGTGTCAGTACCACTGAATAGAAATGCACGTCTTGGATTCAGTTTCCTGCTGTTGGTTTATTGTTTTGGTTTGTCTCCTCGTTAACTGTGGATAACTTGACAACAACCTAACCTGAAAGATGATAAATTGGACAAAGCCTGATATGCCCTTGTCCTTAGCTGCTTTTGACAAGCTAACACTGGTTAACTGTGGAAATATTGCAGACAAGAAAGAGCTTAAATTCCTGATTGTGTCAAACTGACATTTCTCTGTGCTTAGGTTTCATGTGGTCTAGGTATGCCAGCATAGAGTAGAAGATTAGATTTTGCCGCTTGCAGAACAGCAGATTTCGGTGTAAAATAGAAGAAAGATGACTTTCATCTCCTTTGGCTGTACAAGGTGTTTACCTGCATGGATTTACATATGTGAAACCTCACCTGTCTGTGATGCAGGTTCCTGCACATTTTGTGCTAGATGTCCTGCCATAAGTCTTGTGGGTGCAGTGGCTTCTGATCTTCCTTGGTCTTAAGTTCATGATCTGCAAATGAATTTCTTGTCAAGGTAGGCAACTTCACAAGGGCTGCCGATCCTAACTGGGATTGCAGCTTCCCTTCAGAAGTGTGGTAGATAATGTTGGAGTCGTGAGGAAAGTATGCTGCTGAGGGGAGTCACCAAGAAGCTCCACCTCTAGTGAGCCCCAGAAGAACCATGGTGGGACACGTTTTCCAAGACCACGTCTTTGGTGTGGAATACACTTTTTGCACGTTAACAAGTCAAACCACCAGAGCTGTTTGCAAGACAGTCTCTCGCAGGTGCTTTAGACCCAGCAGGATCAATTATGTGGCCTTCTTGATGTTGGAATTTTCCTCCAGCTCTTGCCAAGAGACTATATTGTGTCTAATACACTTGGGCAGCCTCCAGGTGGGAACTGGCTCATGCCTGGCTTTGCTCCCGTGAGCTTCAGTTAAAGCGATATATGAGATGGCTTACTCCTGCATAGGTAGTAACTGCTTTGGCATTTGCATAGTCCACTCCATGTCCCTTGCTAAAGAATTGTTTGGGGAAGAATTGCAAGCAGGCTGGAAGAGGGAGAAATCAGAACCCTCCTTAAATAAGGTTTTGGGATGTGGGTGTAAAGCCACCTTCTCCCAGCAGGATGCTCAAAGGAGCCAGTTGTCCATTCTGATCTGAAAATCGGGCAGATTGCTAGGAGTGCTGTGCCAGTTACTTTCCATGCTGAGAAACAAAGCTCATTCTGGGCATAGTCAAAGAGGTTGTCCCTTTACGTTTGGGGCTAAGAGTGCTGGCTGGAAGAGGGAGTGTGAAGATGTCTCTCCTTGCTTTTACAGAGATGTGCGGTTGTTGTAATCACCCCAAGGACTGCCTGAGCTAGAGGGGGGAGGCACATCACTCTCTTGCTCTGTTGTCATGATCTGCAGAGAAGAGTGAATAGGAAGGGGACATGGTCGGTTTTGCTGTGATGTGACTGAGGAAGACCCTCACTCCTTTCCAAAGAATATTCCTTTGCTTCCCTGGTGCAGTTGGCAGAGGAAGAAGTGGGAGGTAAGGCAAAGGTGGAAGTAGGGCTGCAAAACCCAGCATAAGCTCCTTCATGATCCCTTTCCTCCAAGCAGAATTGCTTTGAGGATCCAAGACTCTCTCTTAGGAGCTAAGCAACAACTTAGAGCTGCTCTGGCAGTACATTATTTGGTGAATTAATGACTGGCAATAAGTACATAGGCAGGGGAAGGTGACAGTGATGCATAAAATCTGAATGAAAGGTACTTGAGCAGGGGTTACCATGTCTTAGCAAGAGAGTTGTTTCAGTTGTTTGCTGTGTTGCTGATTTCCAGGGAAGTTTCAGGGAAGAGTCCTTTTCACAAAGCTAACCACATCCTGCTGAGAAGGACAGCTTTTCTGCTCAGCTGCTACTGTGTGACCTGCTAAAAACACAAAAAAAAGAGCAAAATTCTGCTCCCTGACATACAGGGGTGCAGCAGAGAAGTATGTGGTGAAGGATTGCTGTTGGAACAAAGTTGAAGATCAGGGAGACAAACAAGCAATAGGGCAAGAGGAAATGGCCTCAGGTTGTGCCAAGGAGGTTTAGATTGAACATTTGCAAAAGTTTCTCCACTGAAAAGGTTTTCAAGGCCTGGAAAAGGCTGCCTAGGGAACTGGTTGAGTCATCATCTCTGGAGTTATTTAAAATATGTGTGGATGCGGTGCTGAGGGACATGGTTCATGGTTTAGTGGTGACCTGGCAGTGCTGGGTTAATGGTTGGACTTGATCTTCCAACTAAAACTATGGTGATGAGATGGGGAAAGTCTGCTACATGATCCTTATCTTACTAGTTGTGAGCTAGATGTGTCATCATCGTAAATGGTTTGCTGTCCAGGTCCAGTACAATTGGAGTCTGATCCAAAGCCCACAGTAAGAAAAGGCTACCGTTGACTCAAATATTGTAGTCAAGAGAAGTGGCACCTTAATCAGCAGATGTGCTCCAGGGACTTTCAGTAGGAGTATTCATCTATCTTTTATGAACAGGGAAGAATGACCACAGCTCTAGAAGAAAGAATTTCGTTACAGTTCTTGTTCTGCAGTAGTTTCAAGTTCTCCAGAAGGTTAAGAGCGAATCATATGCCACAGAGTGTAAAATAAACAGTGCCTCCACTGGAGGTTTTTGTGAACTGGTTATTCTGTCCAGAATGGGCTAGGAAGAGCAGATCCAGCCTTAGAGGTAGAGAGATAGATTAGCTGACCTCTTAACATCCCTTCAGTTCTGTTGCCCATGTTATGTGCATTAAATATTCTGACCCAAGTTTTGTAGATATTTCTCATCCTTTGCACCAATCATCATCAGCTTTGAGATGAGAAGAAAAACACATTAATTTGATTTCAAAAGTGCCAGAGCCAAATATAATTTATTTTCATGATGTCTGTGGGGAAATGTGGTGGTGAACATTATTGTTCTCCATTGCTTGTAATATTATGCCTACTTCCTGTTGAAGGTGACAGGAATAATAAAATTGTTATCTTAAAATAGGCTGAAAGGTGATCTTGAATTAACATATGAAGTCTCAAAGCACTGATTACAAAATAGCAAAAACCAAATGGCTGCATTTGAGTCAGTTATATCCTGAAAGCTTTCTCTCAGCGTGACTGAAGTTTTCAGGAGAATCACTTTGGTTTTGACTAGTCGACGATAAAATTTTCTTTCCAGAGAAGTTTAAACATGGACATAGTATATTCTGGTTTGTTTTTGTGGACTGCACAGAGAAGTCGTCATCTTCCAGACAAACCAGAATAGGTCTTTGAGACAGTGATAGTGGGAAAGGGCCACTAACAGGTCCTTTCTGTGTTTCTTGTGCAAAAGCATGGCACTAAGAGTGGGGTGGTTATAAATATGTCTGTGCTGAAGCTCACCTTTTTCTAGGTCAAACCAAGACATCTCTCCCTGTTACAATTAACTGTTTGTCTCCCAAGTTCTAGGATGTTTCCTGTTTGAAACTTCATGATTGGTTTTAGAGAGGGGTCAGGCGGTAGTCACCTGGCTCTCCTTTATTCCCTCCTCCACCGGAGAAAGGTGACAAAACTTCTCTGGTATCTCAAGTCAGTTTCCTGATACAGATGCTGTCAGTTCCACAGAGTCATATAATTACAAGTTACAAATCTGAGTATTTTTAAAAAATGCAATTCTTTAAGTGGATAAACCTATCCTTTTGCCATAAGTAAGTTTTCTGTTTGAACAAATGCAGAGATGAAGCAGACTTCTAAAACTGAAGGAATTGAGTCTGTCTTTCCAGCTTTGTGACCTCAGAGTTTTTCAAGGCAGAGCCTCAGATCAGACCACAGAGTATACAGAAGTTACTGAGAGAACCAGATGGTGGTTTCCTCCAAGAGGATGAAACTGAGATTTTCCTGTATGGAGTCTTTTTGGAGAGACACAAAAATACATTTCTTGACCATAATGGCAACATCTGCATTTTTGCATGTTTTTCAAATCTGTGTGTTTGAGAATAAGAAGCAAACTCTTTCTGGTTGTCAGTGGCCATGCATTTGGGAAAGAAAACATTGCTGTTTCCATGCTGCGCCTTAAAGGGATTGAGCAGGCAGAGTCTGTCTTGGCTGAGCTGGTTTTAATGGGCAGCTGGTGCCCTGTTGGCTACACTGTCTGTGGGCCCTTTCCCTAAGAAACAGCTGAAGGGTGGTGGAACTGAAGCTCCTCGTTTTGAGTGACCTTCCACATACTACATGCTGTAAGCTGAGTCTTGAAGCAACTGTACAGCTGGTAGCCTTTTGCTGTCACCAGTACCATGCGGAGACACTGCTAGGTCCCACTTTCTGTGGATGGAAAGTGGGACCTACAAGAAAGTGTACAGCCATCAGCCCCATTTATTCATCAGAAAGTGGTCACCAGAGGAATCACTTCCAGAGCCAGGAATGATCTCCCTCTGTTCACCAAAGAGAGAAAATCTCTTAAGACTTCTGCAAACTTAAGTGCCTCCTCATGATGAAAGGTGTGTTGGAATCCGTTTGGGTTTTTTTTCACCAAAGGCACCAAGATTGTGCAATTTCCTGTACCAAATGTTAAGGGAAGGCACCAAGCCTGCCGATCTAACCCTGACAAGGACTGGAGCTTGCCTGTGTTGCTTCAGATCCATTACTCTGAACATAGCTGCAAAGAGTTACCACTCATTGACTCTGACAGTTATATCATGGAAGGCTTTCACACTGAGGATGTTGCAGGACTGGAATCATCTGTGAGAGCCATCTGTGAGGATGAGGAAGCAGTTGCATCCCCAACACACTAGGGTTTCAAAGATCAGTTTTGAGGTGGCTGTGTCCAGAGGCCAGCTGAATTTTCTGCACCTCCTTTTTGCACACATACGCCAAAGGCTGGTGACAGTTAAGCTCAGATTGTTACATGCTTGATAAAGCTTATCCAGGATCTACCTATTCAGCCAGCTTTGGAGGGCACATAAGCAAAGGCTAATATCTCAGCTGTTTTGCTGCTTTGAAACACATCTTGATCGTTCTGCTTTCTTTCTATGCTGCTTGACTGCTGAAGCAGCATGGAGTATTTGAAAAAGTGAGTCCCAGGTCTCCTGGTTTTATTTCTACTGGTGTTTTATGTTCAAGATCAGAAAGAGGTGGCGGCTACTTTTAGTTCCATTTTTCTCAGCTGTTCATCCATTTCTAGTTCTTTGTAATGAGTCCCCCTTGCCTCTCTGGTTGCTTTCATTGCATCTTACACACTGGCTTGTGCATCTTGACTTCATGCATCTTGTCAGAGCACTTAGGTCTCACACAAGTGCCTAAGGCTTCTGAGTCTCAAGGTTATCCCATTTTCAATGATAGATTAAAGGACCAATTAAAGGTTTGTTCAGTGCTACCAGCAGTCATGACAGCAGATGCCATTTTGTCCTTGTCTGCCCTGTCTGCATTTGTCTTTTGAAGAATCTGTTTAATAGCTGCCCCAGAGATGCTGAGTTTGAGAGTACTGCCCCTAGCACTAGTGGTGTCCAGAATCCCCAGGACTGTTCATGGCAACACCTGTGGCTTCTTGGATGAGAGCACTGGTGCATTCCCACAACCCAACTGATCAGTATGAGATGATTCGCTCCTATAGCTACGAAGGAGATTGCTTATTCCAAAAAAATGCTAAACCATTTACTGCAGTAGGTCTCAAGGAGAAATCCACTGTGTCCTTGGCTGAGATCCCACAATTCAGAAGGCACTTCTGTGTGACAAATCAGTCCAGGTCCTTGTGCCCTGTGGGAGATTTTAGTCTGGATGAGGTACCACAGACTTCTGTTGAGAGAATTTGCTCCTGGAATGGATACGTATCTTAGAAGTAAGTGCCACACAATGATCCAGACTTGCCAGCATCTAGTCAGAAAGTCACACACTTGTCAATTGGCAGAGGCCTTCAGCCAAAGCATGCATGAAGAAATAATTGCTTTGACCAACAACCGAAGTTTGTTGCAGATCTCCCTGTTCTGGAGTGGGAAAGCATATCAATGGCTAACAGGATGCAAAATATTGCTCTCCTTTGCAAGGAATCAGGTCCTTGGGTAAAAGTTTCATTCGTCTTAATTAGGAGACCTTGCAAGACAACACCATGAAGGAATTGTGCACCACCTTGGCTATGTTGGTACAACTAAATCAAATGTTTGGCACCCTTGTGTGGCTCTTAGGCTGAATGTCAATGTCTAGCATCCATATCCATATTGTTGAAAAGTCTTGCCCTCCAAAAGAAGATGCTTGCCTCTATACTGCCTGTTGGGGTGGTCCTTGGTGGTGTTGATTCCTCAGTGGTGTCTGGAAATTGGGAGTGTGCCGGGCTGAGACCATGCCAGGCACAAGTTAATGTGAGGTGATCGAAGTACAATGCCTGGGAACATTCCCTGGCACTGCTGTATTCACTAATCACAGAATAGTAGGGATTGGAATGGAGCTCTGGAGATCAGTTCTCTAGTGCATCCCCTCTGCCAAGGCAGGTTCACCTAGAGCGGGTTGCATAGGATCGCATCTGGGCAGGTTTTGAATAACTTTCAGAGAAGGAGGCCCCACAATTTTTCTGAGCAGCCTGTTCTAGTGCTCTGTCATCCTCACAGTAAAGAAGCTTTTGCTTATGTTCAGATGGAACTTCACATGTTCCAGTTTGTACCCATTGCCCCATGTCCTGTTGCTGGGCACCACTGAAAAGAGACCACCCCCATCCTCTTGACACCTGTCATTTAGATATTTGTAAACATTTATAAGATCCCCTCTCAGTCTTTTCCTCTCAGTCCTTCTTCTCAAAAAAGATGCTTCAGTCCCCTAATCATCTTCAGAACCCCACACTGGACTCTCTCCAGTAGTTCCTTGTCTCTGTTGACATAGGAAGCCCAGAACTGAACACAGTACTCCAGACATGGCACTTCTAGGACAGGAGGAGGAGGAAGACCTCCCGTGACCTGATGGTCACACTCTTCTTAATGCATGTCAGGATACCCTTGGCTTTCTTGGCCACAAGGACACATTGATGTTTCAGGGTTAACTTGTTGTCCACCAGGAGTCCCGAGTCCTTCTCCTTGGACCTGCTTTCCATCAGGTCAACCCCTAACCTGTACTAGTGCATGAGGTTATTCCTTCCCAGGTGCAGGACTCTCTACACTTGCCTTTGTTGAACTTCATAAGATTCCACTCCACCCAACTGCAGCCTGTCCAGGTCTCTCTGAATGACAGCACAGCCTTGTGGTGTGTCAGCTACTCCTTCCAGTTTTGTATCACCAGCCAACTTGCTGAGGGTATGCTCCGTCCCTTCACCCAGGTCATTGATGAAGATGTTGAGCAAGACTAGACTCAGGATTGACCCCAGTGAACACCGCTAGCTACAGGCTTCCAACTAGACTGCACCACTGATCACAACCCTCTGAGCTCTGTAGTTCAGCCAGTTCTCAGACTTCCTCACTGTCCACTCATCTAACTGACATTTGTTAAGCTTCCCTAGGAGGATGTTGTGGGAGACAGTGTCAGAAGCCTTGCTGAAGTTGAGGTAGCCAACATCCACTGCTCTCCTCTCATCTACCTAGCCATTCGTGCCACTGTAGAAGGCTATCAGATTAGTCAAGCCCGATTTCTCCTTGGTAAATCCACGCTGACCACTCCCAATAACCTTCTCTTCCTCCCCACACTTAATACAGCCTCCATGTCTCTGGATTTGGTTTCCTTGTTGTCACACCAGTCTGGTATCCCTGTATCTCCTCAGACTTAAGTTTTTCAGCAGAAGGCCATTTCAGCAGAGATCAGGATAACACAGATGGTTGCTCTGCAGTTCTCAGAGGACATTTCTTTGGATAGTCATTCCCATAAGCAGGCGTGGTTGCAGTGTGTCCCAGAAGGAGCTTTTGGACTGAGAGATGCCTTGCTCATCCTCATCTCATACACACCTTGGAACATACAGATATGATTGGAAGGTCTGCTGAGCTTGCTTTCTCTGCTGATCATCTGGATTCAGTAAGATGTAGCAGCTTGAAGTCCACTCCCCTGTTAGCTGTCATTACACTCAAATGATCAGGAATTTATGTATTTATTTAACTATGTGCTGGTCTCAGGAGAAGCATTGCTGCCATGGCTTTCCAATGACAGCCTTCATCGTCCCTGAGACACCTTTCCCAGTCACCCGGAGGGGAATGTGTGGGGACTTCAAGGGACACAGGACTGTCCTGTAATCTGAAACTAACAGTGGTTCCTCTGGATGCACCACCCACCCAGATTCCTCTGAAAACCATCATCCTGCTTTTGTGGTGGACACTTTATTTTTTTTTTTCTAAGTTATCTGACTCTTGTTGCTTTTGGCAAACCAAAAAGCACTTATTAGTCAGGCAATGCTTGTGACTTGCTGAAATGACTTGCGTTGTTATCCCTGAGAGCTGCGTTGAATACATTACCCTAATAAGTAACATTCTGAGCAGCATTTTGTTTCTAAAATACAGATAATATAATTCACCTAGTGTAGTTTTTATTTTTAAATTACTACTTCTCTGCTAGTCTGTGGAGGAAAATAAAGAAAAGGAGGTATGTATTTCATGTGCTACGTTAAGGGGTAAACCTCAGTGATCCGTAGTAATCTAATTCTTTTCATCTACGTGTGAACTCATGAAGAAATTGGAGATTTTTCAGGAAAGCCCAGCAGGCAAATATTTCCCATTTTAGTACTCAAATAAGTGGAATTAAAAATAGGTGGAGTTGGATGACACATAACACTCTTGAAATGCTGCATTTTGAGACTCTAAAATGGAAACTTGCGCTTGTTTGAAAGTCTGGCTCCCATGTCCTGTGCTGGTGAAGCAGATGAACTGAAGCTTTGCTATAATGCGACTGTGTTTTGATACATGTTTAGTTTTCACTCTAAATAGAGGTATGTTTTGACATGGAGTATGCAAGAATTACAGAAATGAAACTTCACTGGTCAGTCCCTTGTTCATGCTTGGTTTTCACTGCTTTTTAAGGGATGAAGAAGAGAAAAAGAAGTCTCACTCAGACAGTACAGATGAAAAGGATAATGGGAGCCAGGTGAAGGCTGTCAGTCGAATTGGGAACTCAAATAACCCATTCCTGGACATCCCTCATGACCCTAATGCTGCTGTCTATAAAACTGGATTTCTGGCTCGGAAAATCCATGCAGATATGGATGGAAAGAAAAGTGAGTATATTTTACTCTTCTCATTTGCTTGTTACCTCTGTACAGTGCCACTCACGATGAGGCCATGTGCTTCTCAAGGCAAATAGTGCTGCTTCATTAGGGGAAATTGCAGCAATAACAAACAACACAGCAATTGGATTCTCACACTCTCACTATTAGTCCAGGATTTACAACGTTCAGTCCCATTTACAGCAGCTCTAATGCATGAGCGTAATGAGTAATGTGATACAGCAAAGCAGTGTGAATCTTTTGTGCTAAAAGAAAATGAATCTCATGGTTTACAGGAGAGAAAACAATTTCAAGTGAATTACTGTAGCTGTTCCGTAGTAGTTGGTAATTCTCCTTTTCCTTATGTGACACCAGATTGTTTCAAATATCTCCTCCTCTCTGAGCCTGTCCTGAAAGAAAAGCTTTTTTTTTTTCTTTTTCTCTACTTGTAAGATGCTGTACCCCTTCCCTTCCCAACTTTCCCAGCCTTCGTTCACGTACCCGATGAAGTTTAACAGCTTCTGGTAACAGCCACATTTGTGCTGTACAGCTCCTCCCTGCTACCTTTGTTTTAGTAATCCTGCTTTGTCTCCTACTTACGTTAGTTATCCTCTTCCCTTCATGTCCTATTTAATTTCATCATGCACTAGTTATTGAAGGCCTCTGATTCACTTGTGTGTTTTGTTGTTTGGATATCTTGATTTGTTTGTTTTCTATTGATCTTTGGACACCAGAGGCTACTTGGAGCATCTGTATTTTCCCTGATTGTTATTATCACCAGCGTGTGGTTCAGACTGTTGGGCTGACTTTGTGATGGATTTTGAGTACTTGCAACTCAACATGTTTGCATGTGTTGCTAGTGTATCTTAGAAGGTACAATTGGAGGTTGGTGTTTTCAAGCTGGAGGCTGACAGCTGAACAAATAAATCCAAACAGAGATGTCAAAATCAAACTGACCTCATTCTTTGTGATGACTGGATGCTCTGAACAGGTTCCTCTTCATTAAACTTCTGTTTATTTACCCTTAAAAAATAATTGTATCTAGTTGCTGTTATTAACTTGTTTCTTTAATTATAAGTAATCAGAATTGCTCACTGTTTAGCACACTGGATGAATTTTTGGGGATAATCCTTTTATGACTAGTGTAATTATGCTATATTTTCAGAAGTTCCTGTTTGTCTTGGAGGTCTGTCTCTCAGTGTCATGCAGCTCTTAAGGAAGTTATGTTCTGACTCTCCAGTTGAAAATGAAATGAAACTAATTTTTTTAAAGCTAGTTAGACCTTTTCATATTTAATTTCCTAATGGAGTTGTTGCAGGGCAGAGATCAGCTGGTGCAGTATTGCTAATGAAGTGATGTGCTAACATTCTGGGTGTATTTTCTCAGCAAAGGAGCACTGAGGGCTAAAGTGCTTAGGCAGTCTGGAGGAGAAGGATGTAACAGGGGCCAGTGGCTGGAAGCTGAACTGAACAAGTGGCAATTAGAAATAAGGGCCCTCGTGTGCAATGGGGATGATTAACCTCTGGAGCAAGGGACTCATAACCTCCTCACCATCACCTGCTGCCTTCAGATCAGAATGGGATATCTTTCTGAGTGTGATGCTTTAGTTGCGCACAGGTTATATGTTTTAGTATAGAGGCAAGTGGATGCTGGTCAGTGGTGTGGGCTTGATGGGGGGTGAGCTTAGATGTAGGCTTCTAGTCTCTGGCACTGTGACCATACAACGTGTGCCTTCTGTCCCTTTACTGCAGCTGAATTTCAAACTGGAACCTTCATACTGAATCCCATCCTTCGCCTCCTCCCCTCCCCCCCGCTTCCCCCCACTTTTTAA